CATCCCACCCACCCACCCGCAACTTGGTTTGCAAAACCTGTTAAGACCGACAACGACGACACCGACGACAACGACTAGGACGACACCGACGACGTCTCCGACGACTTCGACGACGACAACGACGCCGACGCCGACGACGACGAAGACGACGACGACGACGCCAACGAAGGCGACGACGAGGAAGGAGGAAGGACGACGACGGCGACAACGACGACAACGACGAAGGAGGAGGGAGGACGGTGACGACGCGAACGGCGACGAAGGAGGAAGGACGGCGACGCCGACGACGACAACGACGAGGGAGGAGGGAAGACGACGACGACAACGACGACGACGACGGCGACGACATAGGAGGGACGACGATGAGACGCCGACGACGGGCGACGACGACGACGTGGGAGGAGGAGGAAGGACGACCACGGCGACAACGACGATGGAAACGACCACGACGCCAAAGAGGACGACGACGACAAACAGGAGAAAAGACAGAGGACGACGTAGGCGACGACGACGACGACGCGGGAGGAGGGAGGACGGCGACGACGACGACGACGACGACGACGCAAGAGCGCGCGCGCACGCTTTTGTTGAAAATCCGTGTTGCGAAACCTTGGGTTCTTGTAGGTTTTTTGGACGCACGATTTTGAAATCCTTCCGAAACCGATGGGTTTTGAAGGTTTTCGGCATACGTCCGCGACGACGCGCGCGTCTGCACTTCGTCCCATTTTTTTGCAGATTCTCGCGACGGCACACGCGCAAGGGCGTTCGACAGATTTCGACATGCGCGCGCGCGAAACCCGTTTGGTAGCATTTTGTGAAAATCTTGAAAAACCTATGGTTTTCTTAAGATTTCGCAAGAGCTCGCGCGGAAGTTTTTTTAGCAAATCAGTGTTGCGAAACCATGTGTTTTTGTATGTTCTTCGGAAACTCGATTGCGAAATCCTTCCGGCACCGAAGGTTTTTGAAGGATTTCGGCATGCGCGCGCGACGACGCGCGCGTGTGCACTTCGTCCCGTTTTTTGCAAGCGATTCGTGGAAAAGTGTTATGTTAGAAAAAAAATGTCCCCGCATAGTGTTATTTGACAGGGAACCGCAGGGGGGGGGATACCGGCTTGGCTGGGATGGTATGAATTCATATTTAGGATGGACATGTGGTCAGAATCATATGTGATTTACAGCACGCGCGGGGGACCCGATAAGTCCGGGGGGGGGGGTAGAATCTGTTAATTTTTTAGAAAGGAGAATCTATGTGGTGCAAGCTATGTGGGGCCCCCCCCCCCCCCCCCTTGTTGTGCAATCTAGGTGGTCCGATATGTGTGCCGTCAACTATTTGCTTCAATGTAGTTGCTTTGGGCTACATGG